AGGAGAAATAGGGAAAATAGAAAGAGACAGAGAACACACACACACAGAAGGACAGAGAGGGAGAAGAGAAAGAGACAGCGAACACAGAGAGAGATAAGGAGAGAGAGGGAGAGGAGAAAGAGACAGAGAACACAGAGAGAAAGATAAGGAGAGAGAGGGAGAAGAGAAAGAGACTGAGAACACAGAGAGAAAAATAAGGAGAGAGAGGGAGAAGAGAAAGAGACAGAGAACACAGAGAGAAAAATAAGGAGAGAGATGGAAAAGAGAAGGAGACAGAAAACACAAAGAGAGAACAGAGAGAGAGAGGGAGAAGAGAAAAAGACAGAGAACAGAGAGAGAGAGAGAAGGAGAGAGAAAAGAGAAAGAGAACAGAGAGAGAGAAGGAGAAGGAGAGAGAAGGAGAAGAGAAAGAGACAGAGAACACATAGAGAGAGGGAGAAGAGAAAGAGAACAGAGTGAGAGATGGAGAGAGAGGGAGAAGAGAAAGAGACAGAGAACACAGAGAGAGAGAGAGGGAGAAAGAGAGAGAGGGAGAAGAGAAAGAGACACAGAACACAGAGAGAGAGAGAGAGAGAAAGAAAGAGAGAGAGGGAGAAGAGAAAGAGACAGAACACAGAGTGAGAAAGAGAGAAAGAGAGAGGGAGAAGAGAAAGAGACAGATAACAGAGAGAGAGAGAGAGGGGGGAGAAGGAGAGAGGGAGAGGAGAAAGAGACAGAGAACACACAGAGAGAGAGAAGGAGAGAGAGGGAGAACAGAAAGAGTCAGAGAACAGAGAGAGAGAGAGAGAGAGAGAGAGAGAGAGAGAGAGAGAGAGAGAGAGAGAGAGAGAGAGAAGTCTGTCACAAGCAAGAGAGAGTATCATTATCACCACCCCTGTCAACACGACTATCATTCTCTTCTATTTATTCATAACTGACTCCAATGAGTAGCAAAAAGACGAACCCGGGTCACCCAAACATATAAAGCTTTGCTATCGACTGAATTCCCTTATAGATAAAGAAAAGAATATAAAAGATAATTGAACGTGAACGAATCGAAAAGACAGTGGATAGTGAGCATAATGTTTATGTAATATTTCCTGACAAAAGACTAGGAGTCTAAGAAAAGACCAGCCATTGTACTGCACTGATAGTCGGTTCCTAAGTAAAGTCCGATCAAACTGAATAGCTCCTTGATATCCAGATTAAAAATGCCGCACGTTTTTGGTGTAGAAGAAACCAGGTTGTAAATCGGAAACAGGGGCGATGCCGTAAAGATTATTGCTGGTGGGATGAGCGCAACGATCAAGGGATTTGAGCCTCTTTATAGAAATATAAATAATAATAATTACTATTATAATAATGTGCCAACAGGCAAATACATTTTATGATATATTTGAAATAAAATGAAATCCAGAAGTGAACGAACAATCAGAGCTTTTCGCCAGAGTTTACAGTTGGTGAACGGGAAGAAAAAGAACATGGTCAATTATTGAGAGCTAGGGACATAAAGTTAGTTGCGTATCCTTTACAGGGCATTGCTGAACCAACCACAGCATTTTTTGGCTGTTGTGGTTTTTCTAGGCAAATTTACGTCCTAGTAGTTTGAGAGACATAAACAACCAATGAAAAATGGAATTCGTCAAATGTTGTGTATACTCAACTCTGTTGTATGGTGCAGACATTTGGACAATGAATAATCACTACACAGTCAAACCGAGGGTCTAGAAATGTGTATATACATAAGCATATTTCGTATATCACGGTAATAAATACATTCCAATACAGACGGATATGCAATCAGACAGTTACTGGTGCCATCGGAATTGGAACTCTTCGTTTGCTGCCGAAGATTGGATCAGAGCGCTTATGGGAGTGTACCGAGTGTTATTATGTCGATTCTTTTTTCAACATTCAGTACGGAGTTTCTGGAAAGACTACAAATAAAAAAAGAATTATTGAAAGAAATTAAAACAAGGCACTTGAAATACTTTCGCCATATTAAAAGGCGTAACTCTGTTTTAAAAACTATACTGGAGTAGAAAGTCTAGGGCGAGAGAGCAATATCTAGACAGCGCTACAAGTGGGAGGACAAATCAAGAGATAAACGAGCAGCAATTTGAGAGAGCGTACAACCAAAATACGAGATAGAGCGTGTTGAAGATCTATTGCAGCCAACCTTCAATGCGAACACGGCCCCTGATACGGTTAGCCCACTTGCACATTTGTTTTGTTTTTTTCCAAATAGAACAAGCCTGTATAAAATAACTTGGTAGAGGTGAAGGGTAAGGGGTCTCTGCTCCCACTGCGTAGTGCTTATAGACAGGACACGGCGTGACACTGACCACGTCACCCACCATGTGCCTACTGGACTATGAAATATAGGTCTAGCCCTATATGCCCAATATCCCTAAAGGAGTGAAAAAGGTCCATTACGTTTTTTTTTTCATTTTCTCAATCGACAAGACCTTTTTACCGTTTCAGTTGGAGCAATCTGCTTGCATCCATTGGCATACACTTTCTGCATCTTCTCTTCTCGAATCCCTGTTGTGCCTTTTAGTCTGGTTTTGAAGAGGCACTTGGTTCGGGTTTGTGTGGGTGCTAGATAGATAGTATTAATATTATATATATATATATATGTATCGTAAATAACATGGCATGTATTCTATCCATTGTCTTTCTCTGCTCAATGCTGTTGGGCGTCGCAGGCACGGCTAATGATCAGTTTCCGCGATAGTATGCGCTCGTTAGCTAGCTGCTTAGTGATACTGTTAAGTTTCAGCAAGTTGTTAACTTCATCTGTCCATATTCCACTAGCCCTTCCTCTGCATCTTGATATTTCCACTCTCATGATGTATGCTCTTGCTACCGGTAACGCTGGATTCATTCTGACCAGCTGGTCAAACCATTTCAGTCTTCGCTTTTTAATCAGACTAGGTACAGGGGTTGTCCATACCATTTTAATGATATCTTTATTGCTCTAATTAACAATGCTTAAGGGAAAAAACAAACAGAAAAAGTCTTAACATCGTTGGGGGAAACACTTAGCTCCCCCCCCCCCCCACCCACCCGGATTGATTTTTTGAGTGGTTCTCACGGTGATAGAGCCACCAGGTTTCGGCGCCACTGTGTCACTTTCAGTTAACTGTCGGCTATTCCGGCGACTGCAGCTACATACCTTAAATAAACATTGTTGATGTGCTTACTTTTACGGACCAACAAATATTTCACAAGTAAATATTCTCTCAACGATGCCGTGTAATCAATATTGATATCACGTGGTTCAAATCACTAAATGGAAGGCTGTACGCATATCTTTAGAACACGATTCCGGGGAAACTGTCTAACGATGATAGAAACTCTCTCGCCTGCTTCATTTAATTCTGCCAGTTGATCAGTATTTCTTTAAATGCCTGTATCTACAATTTTGAGGGCGGTTTCGGGCAGGGGAATCTCAGTGGCCAGGAGCGATCTATTCGCATATGTGAGTGGTTTAGACAAAATTAAGCGTTAGCAGGTAATAGGTACACCGGAGAGGATATCACGTGATATGTTCTTCTGGTCGCTTCGCTGGGGGATCTTGAGCAAGATAATTTAGAGCCGTGTGACTAGTGCAGTTGCCACAAACTGTTCAAATTAGGATGGTTAGTGAGCATGTTAGTGAATATCCGTACATTGCCAAGACTTAGTATTAGGTATATGGTGTCAGTCCCAAATACTTGAGTGATCGATGAATGATGAGTTAATATCGCCCCATTTTAACAATCGTATGCTTGTGTATCAAACAGAGGCTATTTTTCAAAGACCAGTCTGCTCCAAAATATTTTCAACAAGATGAAATTTCTCTAACACCCATACATTATACTGTCTATTTTTTAACAAACTAGACAGGTAAACAATATCAAATGACAGTAGCAGTTATTCTTCTTCTTCGCGTTCACCAGATGTAACGCTCGTGGAAGATTCTGGTTATTCGACCATCTCTGGGCTTTAGTCTTGTTCCAGAATTAAGTGCTGCAAGCACATCCGTTTTACAGATTTGACGTGTTTGAATGCAGATTGTTAGTTCCTTGTCTGTCAGGTAGATTCACTATGACTTCGAAGGAAGCCCCCCTGTCACCCCAATCAGTCGACTATTACGACATGCTTATTGTTGATGCAGTGGGTCTATTCTCCATACATTGTAAAACTAGCCAAAATTATTTAACACAAAGCATTTCTATGTTGATATAACACTACGCAAATCTATAATGCCTAAACAAAACACATGCAGACTGGGAATCAGTAACGATCTTAGCAGAAATCACCTGTGTATGGAAAACATACACACTGGGCATCAGTAACGATCTTAGCAGAAAGTACCTGTGTATGGAACACATACACACTGGTCATTAGTAACAATCTCAGCAGAAAGTACCTGTGTGTGGAACACATACACATTGGGAACCAGTAACGATCTCAGCAGTAAGCACTTGTGTGTGGAACACATGCACACTGGGAATCAGTACCGATCTCAGCAGTAAGCACTTGTGTGTAGCTCCATCGGGATTAAACCCATAACAAAATGAATTGTTGATAAAAATAACATAAAATAGAAGAGTGCGTTACGTGCTGCTGATTCAAAGAATCTAATCAGTGAGTTGAGTTGAGTCAATAATTGACATCACAGCACTCAGGGCATTCCCATGCATGCTCCGTCCACGTTTTCAGCAGCCAGCGCAGAGTTCCAATACTGATGGTACCGGTCACAATCTGGTTAGAATTTAATCAATTACAACTGCACGAAAACGATGCCAAAATATAAATGTTACAGCGCTACTCTGATTTTGTTCGTCTTCCATGCTGCTACAATGAGCATTGTTGTATTCTCAAATCAACTCCAGGATGTTTTCGAGAAGACCCAGCGGTGAACTATTTATGAATAACACTATAAAAAGGTGAATTCTTTCAGAAGTGCGAGTCAGTGCGCGGTCAGATGTTCCCGAAGTCAGAATTGTACGGCGTTTGTCTACTCCAAATCTATGCAACTGTGTTATCTCGGCTCTGCTGTATGTAATCACAAGGGCAAAAGCTACCCGCCAGACTACCAAATCTACAAGTCAGATTTAGGTGAGAAAATGTTGCATTATGTCTGTTTTAAGTTTTAGGAACTGGACCCATTTCAAGTAACGTCACAAGTGTAGAGGATAAGGGAATTTAAAACAATGTTTTCCCGTAATTAATTTAAATAATGCGGATACAAACAATTACTACAGAGTTAATTCTGGACACATAATTGACACAGACAGTGCTTTCCGTGTGGTTTACCACACTCCGAACAGGAGACTTTTGAGAATAGGCGAAACTTTAACAATAAAAATCAACAACCCCCTCCTCTGTAAGCAGACGGAATTTATCGTAAATTTGAAGTTACCCTGGTAAGTCGCGTGAGTACGGTGACTTCCGGCGGCCATGAAACACAATGTATCAGAAGAAACTATTTCAGTTGAATTTATTCAGGTTTGGGCTTTATTTTATGTTGATGTAACTCTGTAGTAACGCACCTGATGAGATACAGCGAAATATGCCTGGCAATAAATTGTGCAATGTATTGTTTGTATCCACACTATTTAAATAAGGGAAATATTAAGTGCAGCAAAAATACTGTTGGCAGAAAGTTATATAGAAAGAGATAGGGAGGAAAGAACAGATTGCTACCCTGAAAAAAAATACGAAGTCATTTATATCACACATCAAGAGCAGGTGTAGAAATCTATACCCCCACCGCCCGCTCCCCTCAAAAAAAAAAAAAAAAAGTTGTAATACAAAGGTTCTCAACGCGAGCAGGTCTTCGTAGTAAAACTCGCCAACGCCATGTGTTGTGATTCCATGCTTTCCTATACAAAGAGTCGTCCCCCATATGGGGCACAATTTTTCGTTATTTTGAAGCCCCACTTCTGCTTTTTCCTGGGGGCTGTAGTACAAACTAATGGTTGAACGCGGTTTCTGAGACCTCTCCATGGGTGATCCTCATCCGCATGGTGGCACTTTGTGTCACCGAGTGTTTATCGCTCTGTGTGATGTCCTGGGGGGGGGGAGGGGGGGTAAAATTTACTTACTTACTTACTTCCATGCTTTCCTATAGCACATTGTAATACTATCATCTGGAGCACTGTTTCCCTCGGTGGGTACTGGGACGGTCCAGGGGGGCGGTAGCGGCTCAGAGCAGCGTAACAGAGGCAAGGCTCTTAGTGATTTACATAACCGAGGTTACGAAATATCGTCTCTCGCAAGTCTTCACAAGTCTGCCGGGAGATATATGGAACCAATGCTCATCGATGACATTGCTGTTTGGACGGCCACTGAAAACACTAAAACAGCATTCTGTCAGCTTCAAAAGTCAATGGAGAAAGTAGAGAACTGGGTAAAGAATTAGGGTCCAACACGTTCATTGACATGTTTGTCTTTTCAGACGATAGTGTTAAAATGTGTTATATCGGTTAGTTGCGTATCCTTTACAGGACGTTGCAGAACCAACCCCAACAGCCCCTGGCTGTCAAATTTTGCGTAGTTTGCCATTGCTTACTAGACGGTCGGCTTCTTTGATACCACTGTCGAAACCAACTCATGGCGCATGGCCCGCAGCTGGGATAGAATCCGGCATCCCGGCATTGCGAAGCGTTCGCATGGACTTAGCCACAGAGCCGACAGTGTGTTATATACATGCATATAAATCACGGCCAGTTTGAGCCATGGATGAAATTCATCTTCTCTAGAGCACAAAAACTAGGCATTATTGTAGTGACCAGGTGTTGCTCATGCAGAAGGATTTCTCCAATGGCCTGCCTTGTTTACTCAACAGCAAAGGTGGCACCAATACTTCCGGAACAAAGCACGCTACAAAAACTGCCACATCAAAAGAGCAACGTTCTGTCTGTCCGCGTGTCGGAGCTTCCATCATAGCCGAACAAGGCTACCGGTCTGGTCTGCCCTGCCATAATTGTTTTCAGAATTCATTTCCTCGTCCTAGCATTAGTAGTGTTGTTTTCTCCCCGATGTATTTCTCCAACTGAAATCGTTGGCACAATGCGAAATGTCAAGTTAGGTTACATCGTTCAGCATTCCGTAATAACAGAGAAAATACTGCGACCACAATCATAAGGAAGCCCGGTCATATCAGTCGAAAACTAAAACTTAGAAGACTAGTTAGAACAGTATATTTTCGCTCAGCACACAAAGAAATGTGATTCCTAATGTTACCAAATCAACCAATATCACGAATGTAGCCACATTTTTGCTGGAAAAAAAGAGGGCGGGGAAGGGGGGGGGGGGGGGGGGAGAGGGGTGGATTACAGTAGATACGAAGCTCACCTAGAAGCAAATCAGGAAAAAAAAAAATCCAATTTAATCAACAGGTATACAAGGGTTTACTGCAGGTAAAACAAAAACTGGATGGCAAAAGCAGCTAAAGCGAACTGGTCAAACCTATCTTCTTTCTTCTTCTTCTTCTTCTTCTTCTTCTTCTTCTTCTTCTTCTTCTTCTTCTTCTTCTTCTTCTTCTTCTTCTTCTTCTTCTTCTTCTTCTTCTTCTTCTTTTTCTTCTTCTTCTTCTTCTTCTTCTTCTTCTTCTTCTTCTTCTTCTTCTTCTTCTTCTTCTTCTTCTTCTTCTTCTTCTTCTTCTTCTTCTTCTTCTTCTTCTTCTTCTTCTTCTTCTTCTTCTTCTTCTTCTTCTTCTTCTTCTTCTTCCTCTTCTTCTTCTTCTTTATGTCCTCTTTTACCGCTTTGGGTGTCGAGGGAGATATAAGGTCCTGCTTTGTGCTCTTCTGGCTGCTTCGACCATAGACCCATTGTGATACTGTAGAGTTTCTTTGATGTAATCTTCTCATCTTGTTCTTGGTCTGCCTCTTGATCTACGTCCTTCTCGTATTTTGGTATATGCCGTGAATGGTCTAGCATCAGAGTGTATTATCTACAAGTGGGCAAACCATTTGATTTGCTGTCTTTGTGTGTAATTTAAATTTGGTTCTATGCAGACTTTATCTCGTATGACCTCATCCCTGATTTTATCTCTTCTCGTCACTCCGACAGTCTTTCTCAAACACCACATTTCCACATTATAGGTAGGCATAAAAACACTGACCGACAGATAACGAAATCTTTTATCAATTATCCACAGATTACTACGCAGAAATTATGGGGGCGTCTGAAAACTTTACCTACACAGAGTACACGCCACCTTACACGAAGTCAGTTACTGTCAACCTCCTCAGACAAGTCTCTATAAGCAACTGTAGCCTCGGAGTCAGCTACGGACTTACCGAGGAGAATCATTTATGGGTTGACCTTGGGTGTCGGGCACAGTTTGCCATTGGTGTCTGATTACAAATGTCATGGCTGTCTTAGTTAACCCAGTGATTCGTTTTGTTTGTGGACAGCCTGGACAAGAAGCAGAGCCCAGATGAAGATTTACAGGAGGCAACATCCAGTGTAAACACGTCTCCTGAATGGATGATTCATAAAAAGTATGAGTATATTAATGATGTTTCAGGCACTGCAGTGGAACAAATACAGTGGAGAACAGTAGATGAATGAATTTGATCGTGTAGGGGAAAAGTGTCGGCTCTGTGGCTAAGTCGATGAGAACGCTTCGTAATGCCGGGATGCCGGGTTCGATCCCAGCTAGGGGCCATGCGTCTTGCGTTGGTTTCGACACTGGTATCAAGAAAGCCGACCGTCCAGAGGCAATGGCAAACCACTGGACGTAACTTTGCCTATAAAAACCACACAACTGAGAGGGGCTTTTGGGGTTGGTTCTGCAACGTCCTGTAAAGGATACGCAACTAATCTAGGTGAACAGTAATAAGGTAAAACTTCGATTAACCGTCACTCATTTAACCTGATGTTTTTGTTATCCGTCACGGTCTTTTAAAAAAATACGTCAGCATCAATAAACAAAGAAAAATATTTTAACTGTCCATGAATTACTTTTTACACAATACTTACAAAGCCGAATGTAATTATACTGTACTATGAAACAATGATATAAAAATGAATCGACTGGTTTGTAATTCAAGAGGAGACAAATGCAACACAGATCCTACTTTTGCGTATGAAACGGTCGCCGTGCAGAAAGTTCGAGTGTCAAAGACACGGAAGGAGCTGACAGATTAAAGTAATGTAGGTTCCAAGCATAAGAATACATTTCTATAGTTACTACTCCTGTACTAAAGTTCATATCGATCTTTTCCTAAAATGAGATACAATATGTATGTATTTACGTTTTTTACCCCCTTTTATTTTCGTTTCAAATCCGCAGTAAGATCCCGTTACTATACGTATGTGTTAATAGACTTTCGTTATCCGTCTATTTGGTTTTCTGCCACAGCACCAGTACGGGCAGTGACGGTAACTGGAAGTATTTTTTGTATAATCAAAATGACAGTCGCGAGTAATGATGGCTTAGAAACGGCAAAGAAATGCCGAAACAGATGTTTGTTATATGCGTTAAATATTTCACTTGCCTATTCATGTAATTCTTTCCTTAACTTAATCTTTATTCTCGGCCATCTCCACAACCGCTGTATTTGATTAATTGTGTTTCCATGAAATACGACATATTCGTGTTGTGTCCCCATTTGTGAGGTTCCGATTGGGATTCATTTTAAAAGAAAAAGCTCGACCACGTCCAACCTGCTGTTAGCCAGCCGAAGCTGCCAACAGTCTCCGGTTATATTTGTGGTCTGGTTTATTTGTGCCACTTTCGTGGCTAAAGTTCTGGTATTTGCTCCAGCTCTTTGATCAGTCCTTCTTCCTTTATCTACAAGGTCTCAGACTGTTTTTTACATACTCTGTCCCTTTGTGAGACGCAATTTTTCCTTATTTTGAAGCCCCACCCTGGCTGTTACCAGAGGCTCTAATATAACGTAAACTTTGGGTTGAACAGGGTTTCTGGGACCTGTCCTCGGGTGATCCTCATCTAAATGGTGGCACTTTGTGTCATCGGGTGTTTATCGCTTCATGTGATGTCCTGGTGAAGTAAAACGTCAGTCAGTCAATTAGTTTGATTTACCTATTACCCGCTTTTTTTCCGCCCCTATAGTAGTATTACACACAAGACACGGAACCACAAACACACCACACGCACAAACACAAACATACACACACAAACACATACACACACATGTGTATGCATAAAAAACATTAGACAGGTCTCACTGTTAAACTTGTTTAAACTTGTTTTTTAAAAATGTTTTTGTCTAACTTTCGAAAATATTTTTGCCCCCATAATAATATTTACTCGCTGAACAGTCATGTTTTACTAACATTAAATTGTGTAGTATAGTAGGCGCCATTTAAAACAGCCAACTGTTTTTGGAAAAATCATTCCCTTTCCTTTAGACCCTACTGTGGCAAAAGCTCAACTGTTTTTTTTTTTAAAACCCACACACAGATTTACACGCATTGTCGGTTGATATCTGATCAATTTTTGCAAAGCGGAAAGAACAATAGATTCCATATAGACTTTACCGGAGACAAGGTTGTGCACACTTTTACAGCTTTCAAAAACAGCTTTCAGCAAACTCCACATGATGTATGAAACTGGAAAACATGTTAATGCATTTTTCAGCGTCTTTGATCCAAATCACAGCTGTGTTCAATATTTCCCGTATCTTGTAGGAAACGTGCGGGATTATGTTGATTATTTCAGGATAGAAATGACTCATGACATGGCCACCAGGCAACCGTGACATCCGTTTAGTTTGCGTTTCGTGTGTCCTTGGACATTGGGATTGACGTGAGTTCAAAAAATACAAGGTCTTGTTTGATTAAAGGGTTAGTTGACACGAAGTTAGGGTGGGTAATTAGTGGGCTGTTAAAATACAATAAAAGTCGCTTCCACAACCATTATCGGGAGTCTCGGTAGACTAGTGGTCGAATGATCCTGGGTTCAAATTCAATTTATTCAGAACTGATCTTAGCCTTCCAGTGTAACTAGCCTTAAATGACTATTGTGTAACGTACTAAGAAAAAAAAATGGCGGCTGCTGGGTTGATGACACCCGGTGATTGCAGGATTGTCTATGGCAATGTAAGTTTTATGTGTGTATTATCAATCAATCAGGTGCCGTCTCCACAGTGAAGGTTGGCTGCAATGGATCTCAAACACGTTCTGTCTCTTGTCCTGGTTGTACACTCTCTCAGACTGCTGCCCACCTATCTCTTGATGTTGTCCTCCCACTTGTATCGTTGCCTACCCCTTGCCTTCGAACTTTCCCTCCAGTATGGTTTTTAAAAGTATATTATGTCTTTTAATGTGGCCAAAGTATTTCAGTTGTCTATTTTTGATTTCTTTCAATAATCCTCTTTTCATTTATAGCCTTCCTAGAACCTCTGTATTGGACTGCTTTTGTTTCCATGACACACTACCTATTCTTCTGTATACCCACATCTCCAGAGACACAATTCGATTTTCTAGTTGCTTGTTCATTGTCCACTTTTCTGCACCATATAGCGGGACTGTGTATACACACAATTTGACGATTCTCAGCTGTCACAACTTGGGCATCTTACTGAAGGCAGTTTTAGCCATACCCATTCTCCTTTTTTGATTTATTTGTATATAAAATTCTGTAGACAATCTACATTCTTTGGTAATGTCATGAGAAGACGACAACTAGAGTAAAACATGAGAGTGGGTGAGCGAGAGGGGGGAAAGAGGGAGACAGAGAAAACATACTGGACGGTTTGACACAATGGCATGGAAGATCGCCTGGGACTGAACTAACTGAAAGTACATGATACAGAAGTTTGTGAATGGACATGACTTTTAACGCCACACAGCATGGGCTCTAAGAGGAAGAAGACTAACGTGTGGTCAATATCTCACAGGCAGCCTTTACTTCCAAGAAATTTTCTTTTACCCATTTCATATTAGGTCGACCTGGAAGCCAAGGTCGGTTATAAAAATCTGGCTTGCTGAGATTCGAACATTGTTCAACTAAGTCGGCAAGTAGCCACGCTAGCTGTTATACTGCCAACACGTCTGTATTGCTAATAAGTCCATCTTATTATATAACTTCAAGTCGCAGTTCAGATCCAGCGTCGGTGTTCTGTGGAACCATTTAACTTGTTCTATGGGTTTTCTAGGTCCTGGAACTGTGCTAATTGCACTTCAAAAGCTGATATTTGTTTTTTGATAAGACTTAATTCAACAGTTCTTAGCTAGCTATTTCTGATATCAAAGGTTATAAACGTATTATGTCTTGGCTATAGAGATCTGTCGTCAATGGCTTAAGGGTTTTACAGGCAGCCTAATAACGCCGACATTCAGGGTTAGATTCTGAAGACACTTTTGCGATGCTTTTGAAAAAGGTTGGAGTGTCACCCTTAATGACAAACTACTGAACGTAAAATGTCCTAGTAAAAAACCAAACTTCCAACGGGGTAATGAGAGAGCTGACCAGCTGGTAAATAATGCTCCAATGCAAATGGTAAGAAGCATCGACAAATCTTTTACGGACTAGTTTAGGGGATAATGGCAAATCTTTCACGCTAACACTACTACGTGACCGATGAGTTAGGATGGTGAAGTACGACATCTTCGACGTAAAGACAGGTGATACTATAATTTACTCCTCATGGAAACAATCAGTCGAGGTACCTTGGAGTCGCTGCTGCATCAGAGGACTTAGCACTCTTTGATGCTCAATGTGTAAAGACCTTGATTATAATAACATAACAAAAACTTTTAACAAAAGGCTATGGTTCAGTTTAATGTGTTCAGTTCTGTTGAAATGTCGTTATAAACGGGTTTATGGTAATTTTGATAATAGTATGAGCGTCGACGGTGCAGTCCCAGGGGCAAACAAGGAAGGTATAATTGCCTAGTAAAACAACTAACAGCCAATACATGATTGGGTGGGTTTACAACGCCCTGTAAAACATTGAGGCTGTTTACGTTTACTGTCAGTCTACTGACAATGTCTGTATTTGAACCATTTTATTCCTGTGTCGGGATACTTATTATTGACTGCTTTTAAAATAATTTCCTACTTACATATTTACAAATGTGTTACACACACACACACACTCACACACACACGCACACAGACACACACACACACAAGGAGTTACGGTGAATTAATTGAGAAATAATTCAAATTAAACTAATTCAGTAAATTTGCTGACTGTAATGCGCCAATAAGAATTTACTCTGAAAGCAAATACAAGTAATGTTGTAATGTTACCAGTATGTCTAAAATTGTATTGAACTGGTTGACAGTATTGCAGTATTAGTATATTTATTTGAAATTGTAAGCTTCGTGTGAATTGTGTTGACAGCTACTCAAGTGATGCTACCATTTTTGTGAGTTATGACGA